GCTGGAAACCCCCAAACTCTCAACTACCCATCTTTTAACTACCTAAAAAGGAAACTACAAAAAAAAAAAAACAAAAAAAAACTCTGCTTTCTCATGATCTACTAGAAAGAAGCTCAGCTAATCTGCAAATGGGAAACAACAGAGCATTTAATTATCAGCTGGGCGGTGGTGGCGCATTATAAATTCTGCCTTGGGTAATTACTTTGGAATGCTCTATCAGATTATGTAAGACAGACAAATACCTGTAAATGCTCTGTCTCCTGAAACTTACTGTTACAGGCTGGATTTCTCTACAACTATTTCAACTGCACTACAATGCTAGAGAACAATCTAAAATCTCACCCAGCTTTCTAGAAAACCTAAATATAAATTACAAATAACATATCAAAATAGCATAAAACAACTTGAGTTTCAAATATTAAGCTAAAACCATACTGGTATATCTAACTTCATTTAACAAAATCATTTTGAGAACTGTTTACACATCAATGAGACCCTAGATAGGCTCTCTAACACTACAGAAAACAAAAACAACTTGTCCCCCAGATGACTAACCTTCACCATCTGAATTCAGAGTATCCTCCTTACCTTTTCAAATGTCCAAGCAAAAGGTGCCCGTTGTCAAATTCCTTGTTACAGTGCATTATAGGACACAAAATTGACTTCTCACATCTCCCCATTCTGCCTCCACTTTGGAATGAATGTTTTTTCCCAGAATTAATTGTTTTGAGTCCTACAACGTCAAAGTAGGCCATTATAAAACAGGCCACAGTTGTGAAGTGACATTAGTATGACAAAAACTAAATGCGGTTTATGTGTGTGTATGTGTGTGCGTATATCTCCACATATGGAGACCAGAAGAAAAGCTTGAGTGTCCCTTAAGTGTGCCATACACCTTTTTGGAAGCAAGGTCTCTTGGTTGCCTGAACTTACTACGTAGGCGAGGCTGGCTGGCCTGTGAGCCCCAGGAATCTCCTGCCCCATCTCTGCAGCACTGGGATCACAAACACACACTGCCATGCCTGGCATCTCTGATGTGGGTTCCAGGGCTCACACTGAGGTCCTCGTGCTCCCACCTGACCTTTTATCATTTCCTCCCTAAAACTAGATTTCAGTACCACCTATATTCACTAGCAATGGAAGAAAACCCACACACCTTCCACCTTAAGGCTCCCAGGAATTTCAGGAACTGAATGAAATGTGATCCCTAATGAATACCTGACATTTTTAGCCACTGGTCCACACACTGTCTTGCTGCTTCTGTTTCTGAATGTCCTTGAATAAATTCCAATTCTTGTAAACCATGAGCGTGCTGAAAATCAAGTTTTTCCTAAAGATAATGAGAAAAAAAAAACTCAGTTGACTTATGTGACCTACTGTTTCTAGGGTGAAAAGACTTTGCTACATCAGTGATATAAAGAGTGTACTTTATCCCAAAACGCCTCACCTAGAAATTTCTAACAAAGACTACACATATGTCAAAATAATATTATGTATTACACTAAGCTGCTGAGCCCACAGCCATTTGTATAAAATTTGCTACATTTTTACATCTCCAAAAATATGGAAGTAGGCAAATTACAGCACAAACATTTGATGCAAGTCAATAAATAATGACCAAACAGTTTCCATTTTGTGAGATCATATTTTTGTGAGTCACCAAATAGTGTTAAATAAGTAAGGACAAAATGAATGAGTCACTCATTTCAAATTATATAAACTATATCTGAAGAGTTTTTCAAAAAGGCTAAAAACACACTAAATTTTAAGGCAATATTGTAATGGAAATATAAAGGGTTGTTTTCAGCTTTAAATTTTTAGACATTTTCAAATTTTTATAGTTTTCTATATAAAAGAGCTTCGCAAAGACTCTGTCAATGAATAATATTACTATCAGACACCCTGGCAGCACGAAGTCTCTGCTACCATTTACAAAGAGAGCCACGGCACACATTTTCAAAAAGGGCTGAAGAGCAAACGGTTTAGGCTTAGCCCAGAGTCTCCACTACTACCTCTAACTCCTGTTGTCATAGAATCAGAGCAGCCATAGACAGTATATTAACAAGTATGGCACCATGCAATAAAGTTTTATTTACAAAAACCCACAAGCAAACAAGTACATTATAACTCCTGAAAATATGTGTATGTATTTAGCTCTTCCTATCCATGGCCCCTGTATCAGCTCCTGTTTCCAGATTCTTTCCCTGTTTGAGTTCTTATCCTGACTTCCTTCAGGTTAAAAAAAAAAAATTAAAAAATAAATAAAATTGACCAAGATTTTTTCTTTTTTAAAAGATTTATTTATTTATTATGTATACAGTATCCTCAGTATTCTGTCTATATGTCTGCCTGCAGGTCAGAAGAGGGTACCAGATCTTGTTACAGATAGTTATGAGCCACTATGTGGTTGCTGGGAATTGAACTCAGGACCTTTGGAAGAGCAGGCAATGCTCTTAACCACTGAGCCATCTCTCCAGCCCCCCGAGATTTTAATCTGAAGACAATTAGAAAGGACAGCCATAAAGAAGTCTCAAGAATACTGACATGTACATATTAAAATTTTCTATAGTCAAGTAAACAGAAATACTGGTTTTAATACAAAAATTTAAAAGTAACTTTCATACAGACCTAACGTTCTAATGTAGCAATGTGATCTTTCTTTTTGTTTGTTTTTTTGGGGTTTTTTTTGGGGGGGGGGTTTCGAGATAGGGTTTCACTGTGTAGCTTTGGAGCCTGTCCTGGAGCTAGCTCTTATAGATCAGGCTGGCCTCAAATTCACAGAGATCCACCTGCCTCTGCCTCCTGAGTGCTGGGATTAAAGGCGTGCGCCACCACTGCCCGGCGCAATGTGACTTTTAAATACACAAAGTATATATCAACTTCATAAGTCACCAATTTCTTACTCTATAATCATTGCACTGAAATCTTCTTGAGTAATAACAATATCAGGGGCTAGAGGGAGGACTCAGCAAGTACTATGTCATACAAGCATGAGAACCCACATAAAGACCAGGCATAATGGCATGCGCTTAGAGCTGCAGAGCTCAAAGTAGGCAGGCAAATCCCTGGAGCACACCGCCCAGCCAGCCGATCTTAATCCCCGAGTTCCAGGCCAATGACAGACCTTGTCTCAAAACACAAGGCAGATGGTTCCTAAGGAGAAACACCCAAGGTTGAGCTCTGTTCTCCACAGACACACACACTACAAAACACCACAAACACCAAAAATAATTACAAGACATTTTCTGTAGTTTTTATGAAGAATAATTACTCACTAGAAATATTAAAAAATTCTGTTTATTATTTTTCTTTTTGGAACTATCTTTACATCTTTATTATACATAAGTCTGTAAATTAATAACTTCTAATTAAAATAGAAACATACCCTGAATGCTCTATTCTTCTCTTCTTTTTGTTGTTTTTCTACTTCAACATGACGGGCGAGGCGAGCCAATGTTAAAGCAACTTTATCCTTCTGATGGTCTATATAGTCTTTGTGTTTAAAATTCTCCTATAGTAGAAACAAAACAATTTTTATTCCACATAATACAAAATCAGCACTTAGACAATAAACATTCACTTCCAAACAGTTATTGCATTCAAGAACCATTTACTTCTGTTATAGTTCTAAAAATCTTCCTGATATGTTTTCAGATATATGTGTATGTCTATGTGTGTGTGTTTGTGTATATGTGTATATGTATGTGTTTTGCATATGTGTTATGTATGTGTGTATACATGTATGTGTTTGTTTGTATATTTGTGTATATGTGTGTAGGAGGGAGAGAGGGGAAAGAAGAGGGATGACTTTGTCTCCTGAGCACATATTGTATTTATTGTGATATTTTGTAATTAATATGCTAACATAAGAGAAAAATGAACTCAAACAAAACACTGAATGAATTAAGGGGCTGGAGATATTGACCAGTGGTTAAGAGCATTGGCTGCTTTCTGGAGGACCTAGCTTGATTCCCTGCACCACATGGTGGCTCACAACTGTAACTCCAGTTCCAGGGGATCTGATGATGCCTTCTTCTGACCTCCAAGGGCACCAAGAATGCCCAGTGGTATACAAACATACATGCAGGCAAAACATCTAGATACATAAAGCAAAAACAAAACACATACATACACATAAACAAGAAACTCAAAACTACAAGTGGGGAAAAGGGAAAAGATACAAACAGGCATAAACAAAAAGGAAGACAAAAGAAAGGCAACAAATAAGCAGTAAAATAATAAACAAATACGGTATTAACCCAACTATGTTAATCACTCTATATGGCAAGTCTAAATACACCAATTAAAATATACATTGTCCAAAACTTTAAAAAAAATTTGAGGGCCAGTGAGATTGCTCAGTGGGTAAATGCTCTTGGTGCCAAGCTTGAGCATCCAAATTCACCCAGAACCCACAGGGTGGAAACAGAGAACCGACTCACACATGTTGTCCTCTGACCTCCACATGCACCAGAGCATGAACACACTCACACATATACACACATGTGCACACAAATAAATATATGTAAATTATAAGAAATCTTCCTTTAAATATAATGGCACACATAAATAAAAACAAAGAATGAAAAAACACATTATTTGCTAAGGGCTAGGGATTTAGCTCAGTGGCAGAGTGCTTACCTAGCACGTACAAGGCCCTCAGTTCAATTCCCAGAGGCAGAAGAAGATGAGGAGAGAGAAAGACGGAGGTAAGAAAGAAAAGGGGAGGGAGAGAGAGAAAGAAGAGAGATTTTCTAACACAGAGGTCAGAGGTTGACTTCAGATGTCTCAATTGCATCTCACCTTTTCTTGTTTGTTCTTTAACAGTTTCAGACAGGTATAGAACATACTTGATCAGTCACCTCCGCCCTGTCTTCTCACACTTCCAACCTGTCCTTCCTCCCCTCTGCACTCCTTTTGATCCCTTTTTTCTTCCCAATTACTCTCCCTCTTACTTTTTTATCTTGTTTGTTTGTGACTCACTGGGTTTTATTTTCTTCTTAAAAATAAACAAAAAGAACTCTAACTACTAATCTCAAGAGTAAACTGAGAGACAGTGCTGGAACCTCAGCGAAAAGTATAGTAAAGAAAGCTAACACACACTAACTTTTTAAACTTTGCCAATTCTGAAGCTAGAAATTTAACATGGAAATATATGTTAAGTATTTTCTCCTTAATAATAATAGGAGGCAAGTTCAATAGTTACATGGTACTATTACTATTATTATTACTTATCACCAGTCTCTGTCTGAGGCTTAAGGCCTGAAACAGTGGTAAAGCACTTGCCCAATAGAATCTCAGAACAAGCCAGCGAGAGTGAAGGACACATCCCAGTGCTAAGGGTACAAAGTGAGACACAGCCACTAGACATCACTAGACTATAGGCTTCAGTGGCTACAGAACTCACTGGCACTGGAAAACAACCCCTACTCTGACAGCAGCACAGCAGGCAATCCAAGGACTCAAAGAGCCTAGAGACAAACTTTCAATTAGAACGCCAGAGAGAGAATTTTCCATCACTTTGTTAGCAACTGTGGTGGTTAAACCTTGGCTGTCTACCTGAATAAATATAGAGCCACCATGGGAACACGCCCTGAAAACGTCTACAAGGGTGGCCCCAGTACTGTCTACTTACTCCCTAAATCCTATCTGAAGATGCAGACAGTTGTTCAATTTCCGGTCACCGTGACCTTGCTGTCACAATGGACTGAGCGCTCAAACTGTGAGCCAGACAACCCTTTCCTGTCTTGAGTTGCTTTTGTCAACTACTTCATTATAGCAATGAGAAAAGTAGGTAACACATGAGGCCAACTTCAAAAAAAAAAAAAAATTAGGACAAATGAAAGTTCTTAAATATTCCCTATAAAACTAAGATAAAGGGTTCACAACTCTTAGGACTAGGAATGTTCACCTTTCGCTAATGCTAAAACATTGTTGTGATTTAGTATGAAGTCACGGAATAAAATTCTAGAACTTCCCATACACTCAGGCTAGATTTGTCATTGGCTTTAGACTGAATTATCATTTATATTCTTAGATCTTTCTAAGATCAGGTTTTCAGATGTGTAACTTACCAAGGCCACACTAACACTAAACTAACTCTGAATTCACATAAGGGTAGGTTTTAAGTTTTATTGGAATATTAGCAGCTATAGCATCTCCAGGATCACATATTTTGAAGTACTCACCAAGGTCACCTTGGACTAACTCCTGTATGATACAAAGAACAACTAAAGATTCCATATGGACAGCAAATGATAAGGTTTTATGGTGGGGGTAATATAGGAAACCTGTAGGGAATATTCTGGTGAGGAGTTTCTATTTGCACATAAGTAGGTAGTAAGCAACAATACACCTCCCCTAGTACTGGGGATTAAACCTAGGACCTTGCATGTTCTTCAAGTGCTTTAATCACCTATCCAACATCTAGGCCCTCTTTCCTTTCTCCATTTTGAGACAGTCTCACTATGTTGTCAAAGTCAGACTTTCCATCTTCCTGCCCGGGCCTCCTAGAAACTGGACTGCAACATGAACCATCACCCCGGCTTATCTCTATTTTTGACCTCTCAGTTTCTTTCAGAGCCAGAACTGCACAGAGTTAACAAAGATAGTACAAAGTCAAGAGGTTAAAAAGCAGACACATCACTTAACCAGTATAAAATTCATAGACTTTACATTTTGTGGCTCCTAAGAGGGTCTCTTATAGGCTAGGCTGTCCTCAAACTTGCTATGTAGTCAAAGATGAGTCTAAATTCCTGATTCTTCTGACTCCATTTGCCAAATGCTGTGATTTAGGTGTGAGCCACCACATCTGGCTAACTTATTAATATTTTTTTAATTTGAGATTAAACATGTAAAGTATCGTGGGTATCCCAGCAATGGCAATTAAAGTCAGGATATTAGTTAACCTGATTATTCATGTCCATGAGGTTCAAGCAGAGACAGATGCCAGCATAACTTTTAATTTAAAAAAAAACACCTGTAACCCCAGCACTTCAGAGACAGAAGCAGGAAGACCTAGAATCCAAAGCCAGTCATGGCTACAGTGAATGTGAAGCCAGTACAGGCTACATTAAGAACCATAGTAGAGTGTGACTGGCTGGCAAACACAGGTCTCTGAGTTCACCCCCTAGCATCAAAACAACAAAAAAGTTATCCTTCAAAGTGCTCTGCAAATCTACAAATGGTATAACTTGGGAAGGAAAGAAAGAGGACTCTTTCATGACATCCAGATGAACAATCTCAGCTTTGTGATAAACTGACTACACTATCCTTTTTCTGTATGTTGCAGATCAGTAACCACTAAACCAGAAACCAGTTCTGACTATAAACTTAAATTCTAACTCTGCTGGCAAGAGATTCCTTAATAATTACCTCCAATGAGAATTTTATCATTTTGACAAAGTTTTCACCAAAAGATTTATCAAATGTAATGTACAAGGATTCCCTGGAAAGTATCAGAAGCTGCCACATTGCTAGAAATTGTGATCTGCTATGTGAACTGTACAATAAAATACAATCACTAAATAAATCTATGAACTGACACAAAATCCTGCTAATCAATAAAGTGATGCTAAACTTACATTTTAGTATCTTTCTTTTTTATCACATAGACATAAATGTGAAAATAATATCATACAGCAAATCAGGAAAACTATAAATCAAAATGTCTATAGCAGTTGTGCCTATCTAGAGGGTCTCCTCCTTTCATACCTAGTTTCTAATTTTCCCACAATCAGGACTGGCAATGAAATTGTTAACAAACCTATTGATGATCAAGAGTAGATGATGACAGAATGAGGTAAAGCTTAGAATCTTTTGTTGCTTAGAAATACCCAAGAGATAAAATGAGTGGATTACAATTTCTCCAAGCCCAATAGAAGCATATTGATTAAGCCTAGGTATAGTGGTGCATAAGCCTGCAGTCCTGGCTACTTGAGAAGTGGGGAGAAGCATGCTTAAGATTATGCATGGATACCAGCCTGACAATACAGTAGGCATCTCAAAATACTAAGAACTAAGGTAAGTGACTTATATACAGGTTTAGTGGCTCCTGTTGAGACCAAGAACCATTGTCATTTTAAAGCAAAAGACTACTTGATTAAAACCATTTAGTATTGTTTTTGTTTACTTATATATGTACCTTTCTAGTATATGTTTGTTTTTAGAGACTGGTTCCTACTGTGTTCCCATGTTAAGTCTCCAACTTTTGGGCCCCAATGATACACCTCTTCAAGCTTCCCAAGTGGAAGGACAGCAACCCTGAAACACCGCACCCAGCTCATGTGTACTTTTTGAAAACATCCAAAGCCCATGCACTAAATGCATTTTAAATAATAACACTTAACCAAAGTAAAAGCTAAAATTTTTAAGTATTTCCTTATCTAAGTTAAAATCCACTTTCTTCTATCTGCAACAGAAAACTTGCCCACTTATAAAAGCTTGTTCAACTATAAAGGTAGGTCATTTCACAAATGTGTTTAAAAGGAGCTGATTACATCACAAAAGAAATTCTTATTAGCAGTTAAATTTCTCCCAAACTAATCTTCAATAAATGCCTACATAAATGACTAACAGATGAACTTTCTTTTGAAATTCATTTACAAATGCCTGCTTCTCAGATCACTGTATTCTCAATTCTGGAAGGTATTTATACAGTTTAGCCAGCTGAGTGCCATAGGGTTGTCAACTCTCCCTTAGTAATTAAGAACTGTCCTTAATACTGAGTGCTGAGAACAATGTAAGCCTTTTGGTTTTTCCTTTTCAATACATTGTCTTGCAACATAGCCCAGACAACCCTCAAAGTCATGGCAATCACCCTGCCTGGCCTATTGAAGGCTGGTATTACAAACTGAGTGTTTTATTAAAAAACTCTTCTTGTCAGGCGTGGCAGCAACATGCCTGTAATCTCAGCAGTGGGGAGGCAAAAGCAGGTCTGAGGCCAGTGTAGGGCTAAAATGTTACCTAGAATTTTTTTTCTGGCATCTCACCCCCTCTATTTTTGGAGACAGTCTCATTTTGCGTGGTCCAAGTTGGCCTCAAACTTACATCAAACAATCCTCCTGCCTCAGCTTTACAAATACTAGGATTATAAGTGTGAACTACCATGATTGGCTTTTTTTTGGGGGGGGGGGAGAATTAAGGTGTACACCACCACACTCAGCCCAGAAATTCTTTCAGTTCACTTCTCATACAACTTTCACCAAAAGTTGATCCCCAACCTTTTCTTTATTACTGTCACTAGGTAAATCAGTTGTTCAGAAATATTTTACCAAGATTAACTCAATAAAACTGTAAGGTTAAAGAAGTGAGTCTGCTTTGACAAGTTCTAGAAACACAATGTTAAAAATCATGGGGTTTTATGAATGAAATCACTGAATAACAGCTTGATGTAGTATATAAGTGGCTTAAATAATACAAAAAAGACATTCTTGAATCACTGCTCATCTCAAAAAGGTAACTTTAGTAGCAATAATAAATTTTGTATTTCCTATAAAATTATTTTAACTGAAACATGAGTAAACTATATCCAGGTTTCAGTTAAAGTAATTCTGTAATTAATTTAATTCTGTAACATGAGATAACTACTCAACCTATTTCACAGGATAACAGAAGTTAAGAGAAAAGCATTCTGCAAAAGTTGGCTCAAAGAAGAGCTCTCAACAACCATTTTCCTACCTGACTCACCAAAAGGCACTTTCTGGCTTTTAGCAAAGATACTAAAAATGCAATAAAAATGTGTTGGCTATAGGAGGTTGAATAGTAAAAATGGTGCACAGAAAATGACCCAAGGCAAGGGTTCACTTAGCTTCATTTCCCTTAACCGCTATGTAAAGGACCCCAAGTTCAAAAAGCTAAAAACAGAGGCCAACTGCAAAAGCAATATATACTAACCACCCGCCTAGCATACTTGGTCGGGAAGACTTCCTGAAACAAATGCATTACCAAATTTAAACACTTTTGTCATCATTTTTCCAAGGTTAGTTTGTAATCTGCAATCCCAAAGTTCTAGGTACCAGAAGTCCCTTTTGCCCAATTTATGATTCAAGCCTCATCCCAAAAAACAGTTTGAAAGGCAGCAAGTTTTCTCAAGAATTTTATATCCAAATACAGATAAAGCAGGAGATACACAATGCAGTACAATATATATATTCATCACCCCCAGCAATAATTTTAAAACCAAAAATCCCTTTTTACAAAGCCATTTCCTTCCCACTCCAGTTTATTGTTCACAAATACAGAGTTCACAGAATATCTGCTTTATATAAACAAAGTCAAAATCCAAACATGCAGATATACCCCATTCTACACTTTATACCAGTAAGAAAGCTGGTACCACCAAATCTGCTAACTAAGATACTACCTGTCACATCTTTTGAGTAAACTGTTAGTATCTTTCTATATTTATTTTTCTAATGACAGACCCTCAGCACAGGAAACACGTATGTGCATGCGCGCAGGAGTTTATACAACTTTGGAATTGAAGGAGGATTTCTAACTATCTTAGACTATATGAAATTGTGAGAGTTACTTTTAACCCTGAGTGCCACTGTGATGCCTCTGACAGAGGAAAAAGAGAGAAGGGGAGGAAGAAGGTGGGGGGGGGGCAGAGAAAAAGAGAGGAGGGAAGGAAAAGTGAGCAGGACAAGACACAGTGGCTCATGCCAGTGATTCCCACACTCAGGAGGCTGAAGCAGAAGAACCACTGCCTATCTGAGGTTAGCCTAGGCTACAGAGTAGACCCTGTCTCAAAACAGAAAGAGAACTTGGAATGTAACTTTAAGGTGCTTGCCTAACATTCAATAAGGCCCTGGGTTTGAGCCTCAGCACCACATAAACCAAGCGGGTCACTCATGTCTGTTACCGTAGCACTCAAGAGGTGAAGGCAGGAGGATCAAAAATTCTAGGTCATCCTCAGCTATACAGTGAGTCCAAAGTCAGCCTGAGCTACATGAGATCCTGTATCAGAAAAATAAAAAGGAAAGAGAACAAAGAAAAAAAGCAGAGTTGATAAAGTGTCGGGGGCTACTGGAATTACCACAAGCACAAAACACACGAGCACAAACCACCTGCAGGTGCCAACTACAACATTCTTACACATGTTCATTTTCTCCACATCTGCCCGGAAACTGTTCGTAAGTCAGAACTGAGAGCTACTGGCCACAGCTGCTGCTCTGAAGGCACTGGCTAAGGACCCTATGCAGCATTAGCCAGGAGGACTCCACTCCGTGTCTTCAGTGCTCTCCACCAGGCCTCACGTCTCGCTCACTGCTTAGGCTGCCCCAGGAAAGGAATGCAATGCTGAGGTCTTTCTTCAGCTTCAATTATTTTAGACGTGCAGAGCAGACACAGTACAAAACAATTTTTGAACACTTCCATAACCTTTAGGCCACACAAGCAACACACTTAGTCACAGGAACCGACACATCTTCATGCATAACTTACCCTCTCCACAGTTTCATTTCCTTCATTTCTGTACATCTCTAAGGCTGTTCTTACCATTCTGAACACAGGCAAACCTCATGGCAGTCTCGGCTTTGCATGTCTCAGTTCTCCCTAAATGAAAGGCTGCTCCTCAAGCAGACCAACTACACTAACACCCTCCAAAATCAGCTGAGCCAGCTGGTAGGAAGGCTTTTCTGACCTCTCTAGCTGGCCTTTCTCATGACGTCACCTCACACATTCCTGTGAATAAGGCAGTTACTGCAGTATACGAGCATCAGAATGCCTGGCTCTTTCTCGGCTTCTGTTCTGGATGGAGTCCCATGTGAGAACGTACTCCATAACCAGACCTCAGTGTACCCATACCTTTCTCAGTCCTTGCCTACACAGTGGATACTGAAGTGTGACTGACAGCTGTCCATGGCCAGTGGATGACTCCACATCCATGTACACATGGGCAGCACTAAATAGAGCAGTGGGATTTTTAAAAAGAGCCAGTACAATAAGTTGGGAGGGAGATTTGTTTAGGGAGGCCCAGGAAAGTAGGAGGGAGTGGGGATGAACAGAATCAAGATACATGGTACACATGTATGAAATTTTCAAAAAAGTAAAAAGCATGCAATTCATCCCATTCATAGGTAATCTAAGAATGCAAAATAACAAAATTAGTTATAAAATTAAATCTGCATTAGGCTTTAGTGTAGCCCTGGCTGTTCTGGAACTCACTATGTAGAATGGCCTGTCTCCGCCTCCCAGCGCTGGCATGTAATGGTGTGTGCCACCACACCCAGTTAGTACCTTAAAGTAGAAAAACGGAGGCTGAGACAATAAGTGACTTGCTAATACTGAGGCCCAAGCCTTTAGTGTTAAAATTCAAACACCATTCCACCTTTGTTTCACTACACAAAAATGGAACAAAAAAAGTAAGAGATAAGAATTATGACTAAAACAATCAGTGTTACGAGTGAACTGAGTCTGAGTAATGTGGAACAGAAGCTGTGAGCACTGTGAGAACAGCCGTAGTGCAGAACCTCAACGGAAGAGTGAAGGCTATTCCTCATCTCAAAGGAGGGACAACTAAAACTTAGTACCAAGTACTAACAAGAGTGCATGGACAGCCATAAACAGAAAAAAATTTGTCCCTAAAAGATGTGACCCGAGGGAGTCTGCATCAAAGTGGAGGCACACCAAACAAATCACTTACTGACACATCTGCACACACATTCTGTCCTTGCCTTTCTTCCCAGAAAGGAAACTGACAATTAAATCCACTGCAACCAAGACCCAGGTGGTCTAACCATTCACAATACACAGAGTTTTACAGGTCATTAAAGAAATATAAATACATACACAATTCTGTGCTAAAAATCTAAATGAGGTTATTTACATATTAAATATATTTTACTTAAGATATTATAAAATGGGCTGCATTCCAAACAGGAAAATTGCCACAAAGAAATAGGATGTTATTGTTGATTTTTTATTTTTTTCTTGAAACAGGGTTTCACTACGTAGCCTTGGTTGGCCTACAAATGGCCATACGGATCAGGCTGGCCTAGAACTGATAGGGATCTTCTGCCTGCCTCTGCCTCCATAATGTTGGGAATCAAAGGTATGGGACATCACACCTAGCTGGCAATGAAATGTTTTTCAAACAAGACTTGGAATCCTAGCACTTGAGGCAGGAGGATTGCAACAAGTCCTGAGTCAGCCTGGGCTATACAACAAGACCCTCTATGAAAGCACCTCCCTTACACACACACCAAGCAACAACAACACACCCTGTGTCTTAAAGATTGGAGGTAATTTCATCCCATCATTATTCAGGTCAGTGTTGCCTTACTAACTGAAAAAGATACAAAGGGTCCATAGCACAGTAAGTTACTTAACATATACACCGCATTATAAGTCCAAGGAGTGTGACTCAGCCACCACAGACAAAAACGGGAGTTCTGTGTCCCTTCAAATGGAATGCTGTGATAGTCACTCTTACAGAAGAGAAAACAAAAAGCATGGCATAAAGTTCATGGGGAAAAGGAGCACATGAAAAGCTAGCCTTGTACAAGGAAGAACAGAACCTCTAACAGAGCAATACTTGAGGCATTTACAAAGTTGAATTTTTAAAAAATATCACCAAATATACATTTACTTTCACTTATACCAAAGAGAAGAGGCAAGAATACTAAACACACTATAATACTCAAAAGCAAAATCTAAGGTCTTCAAAGTTCTAAGAGAAACCTGAGAACTCTAACCTCGAAAAATTCAATAAACCATCTGCAACAGCTTCCTCAAAGAAAAAAACTAGTAAAGCCCTTAAAACCCAAAGATTGGTTAACTTTAAACATATCAGAGCTATACTATAAATGAATTTTATGATAATAAATTTAACCATTAACAATATATACAAAATGAATCCGTGAAGAACATACAATGGCTCACTCCTGGAATCACAGTACTTGAGAAAGTGAGGTGAAACTGTCTTGAAGTCAGAGCCAACATGAACTATAGACACACTGTATCTAAGACAAAACCAAAAGCAACACCACCACCAATATATAAATCTGAACTACGAAAATGCCATTAAATGAGACATTACAGAAAAAAAAAACAACACAGTTCAAGAGTCAAGAAGAACTGAGACTGGACTGGCGCTGAAATACTTTTCTTTCTTTTTGAGACAGGGTCTCATGAGGGCCATGAACTCTAAAGAGTAGGTAGTAAAGATGTTGAATTTCTGATCCTCCTGCCCCCACATCATAAGTGTTGGGTATAGACATATCATTACTGGTTGATGCAGTACTGGGATTTGATCCCAGGGCATTCTGCCCATTAGGCAAGAACTGTTCTCTCACTGAGCTATATTCTCAGCCCCTGTATTTTTTTTTAAAGATTTTAAGAAAAACTAAATACATTCTTATCACAAATGCTTTTGACTATTAAACATACAAATTAAATGACATTTAAATATACAAATTAACATCAAAATCTTGGCTAGTAGAACAAAATGGCTCACACTTTCTAATTCCAGCACTTAGGAACATGAATTAGGATTGGGAGGTGGTTGGGGAGGAAGAAGAGAAGAGAGGGAAGGGAAGCGATGGGGAAGAGACGGAAGGAAAACTTGAGCAAAGTTTTCCTTTGGTGGGGTGGGGAAAGGGTTCAATAGATAAAGTGCTTGCCACATAAGTACAAGGACTCAAGTACCCATGTAAAATGCTGAGCACAGTAGCATGCATGTGTAATATATATAGTATGAGGTGGGGCTGGGATGGAGAATTCCTGGACCTCACTGCCTAGCTAGTCTTGGGTTGGCTAACCCTGTGAACTCAATAGTTCAATAAAAGACCCTATTTCAAACAAACAAACAAAATGAAAAGTAAATAAGGAAGACACCTGACATCAACCTCTGGCTTCCATGTGCTATACACACACACATACACACACTCACCATACACACACATATATCATGCACACACATTTCTGCTAAGCATAAAAAAATCTCAACATCGAAGAGATTACAGGAAAAAATCAGACTTCCTTGGGAAGAGATTCTGGGTAAAGACAGATCAGTATCAAAACCCTTAGAAAGACCGCATGACTAAAAGCCCAGCATGGTGCCATTCCCCTGAAGTCCCTGCCCCTAGGAGGTGAAAGCAGGAAAATCATGTATGGGGCAGCCTGAGAAGCTACCTAAAGCCCCTCTCAAGACACAACTGAACTGTGACCACCTCTACATCCTACAGGAAGTGAACACAAACTCCAGTAGTAAGATCTTAAGTAATACAAAAGTGCATTATAATAAAGTCAAATAAATGACACAGGAGTACAAAAATGGGACTACACTAATAAGAGAAAAAGAATTTAATAAAACACCATTCTCATCAATCATCCAGGAAAGGAAACTCTATAGATTTTAATGGTTTATGAAACTTGCTAATTATGAAGGAAATGTGCATTCAATGCAGTAATCAACACTCACTTACTGATAACTTCTTTAAGTTTTAAGTGAAAAGAAATGTCTAGTTTGTATGTCCACTAAAAACCACACAGAATCAACCTGACAACCGAATGACATGCATAAGATGTATCCACAGTTAACAATTAGTTATTGGTCTAGCCATCAACATTAAGTACATATGGGTAAATTTCAAAAACAGGGGAACTGGACAGTGCAAAACTGGGGCAAAATATGCCTCACATTGAAGAAAAAAATTGTTATTGCAGTCTCCTACTCCTAAAAGGATCTAACCCATAATCCCAAGCCTTCAGCAGAATCCCAACAAACTAGAACTTCAAGAATGATGAGTGTGGCTAACCTTTCTGTTACCCTTATCAGTATCCAATTCTACAGTGAGAGGGAATTCTGGACTTTGTCTTTTCAACCTCCTTGCTTACAATACCTGAGAGGTATATATCCTGGATGTATCAGGCCCTTAAGGACATTATCAATCAGGTCACTTAGGTATAATGCAGTAAAGTAGCCTGAAAGAATATATGCTGCCCTCAAAAATAGGATTTTGAAGGCTAATAAATGCAGTTATACTAACAAAGAAGCTGCCAGTTTAAAAAGGAAAAAAAAAACCAATTATACTGACAAGGAAGCTGCCACAGACTACTATATATAAATATATAGTGCCATCAACTTTACTGTTTAAAATGACCTTGCTGTTTCTATCCCAGTAAACACATCCACTAAGCAAATATAAGTTGTTTTACTATGGCTATGATGAGCAAGGTTAGATGTGAGATAAATGACTAAATCAGAAAATCTAAAATATGCCAAGGAAAAAAAAAGAGCTACTTTTATGTCTAGAAACCAATCATTAAAACCTAAAAAGAACTTCTGTGACATTAATTAAAGAGGGAGATTTATTCTATAACCTTCTGAAATTAGTAACAGTGTTATAAAAAACAAATTAGCATTCAGAAGTACATGAAAATAGTGCAATTGTACAGATAATAAAGATAATAAACTAGGTAAATCACTGTGAAGTCACATAAACACCACATCGAAGGTTAGGTCTTAAACATAAGAATAAAATTTAAAAAGGCACTTTATATAACAATAAATGGAAATAGTATTTCTCTATACACAGTAACTACAAAAAATCATATTGTCTTCAAATACATCTTACGTCTAGTCAAGAAATGACATTTTGAAGGAAAGGATCACTAAACACATCTCTTTTGAGAAAATCAAATCATTAAACTTTTAAGTACCCCAAAGTGTCTAAAAAAGCTAGTGATATTCTCACTCAACCTAATAGGAAATTCTGCTGCAGGCTCTGCAAACACAATCTAAATATTTAGCTGGTTAAATCTAAATGCTATATTCTACTGTACTGTCTACTGGGGTTGTCTCACTACACCAAGTATCAACTTTTATAACACCATCATAATCATTCAAGTTTGCCAGAGTTTAAAAAAAAAAGATAAACAGGTAAAAGATGTTGGTATAGTTCTGAGTCAAGTAGCTATAGCTAAGAGAGCTCCCACTCTACCATACTCTGTCCACAAACGACTCAAGGGCCAAATACTTTTTTAGTTTGTCTGTTTAATCACTAATTTGGTGATTTCCTGACCCTTTACTTTCAGGAAAATTGAGTCCTTTGGAGTTGCTTGGACTTAACAATTAGTGGTCAAGCAATGTACTTCATTAAGGAATAGAATAAACATCTAAGATGACAGTAGGGCTGTCCTGAACATATTTAACAGTGTGTAATAATATGAAAACTACTAAAGTGCTAAAGTTCATGTGCTTTTTATGTTGTTGTCTACTATGATTTAAAGCAATAATCGGTACAAATAAATTAGGTGGGAATGCCAAAACAGTTTCGAAGAACACGTCTTCAAGCATTATTTATTTTTGTTTCGTTTTTGAACAACAGGGGTATCTCATAAATCATATGTGCTATGTAGCATAATTCAGGGAAAGATGGAAAAGGAAGAACATCTGTAGTAACCGAACTAGTCAGAAACATCGCACAAAGCTGCGTGCACCCTTTCTCCAGTGCTGTCTGAGTGGTTACTCCTTTCTCAGAAGAAACTGCACTACTACCGGTATGGGCTCGAGTCTACGCCTTTGTAAAGAATTCGCTGTGAGCTACAAAAGTCTGTTTTTTTCTGGAGCTCATCTGAGACAGTTTAGAGAGCCCTGGCACGAACCTAAGAAAGTCAAAGTAAAATGCTGTTGACAACACAGAAAAGTGGTACAATTTGGTTAAATTTGCTAAATGCTTGATAACTAGTTCAGGTTCAATCCATAAAGAAAACAAATAGGTCCAATACAGTACCCTACAATGATCTGACAAAGTAACTTCTTCCAAGCTGTGAAATCCATGCCTTCAATCTATACGCACAAATGAGAAGTGCCAGCCGGGCCTTTATTTCCAATACTTTGGAGGCAGAGCTAAGCTGATCACTATGGGTCCAAGGCCAGCCTGGTCTACATATCAAGTTCCAGGTCAGGTAGCTAAGTCTATGAAGTGAGACGAAGAAATGTAGATTAAGCAGAGTGCTGGCTATGGGTATGAAAGGAGGAAGGCATTGTCTACTGACTTACAAAGAGGTTAGCATCACAGAAAATGTCAACCACTATGATGTAAGGATCATGGTAAGAAACAGAAACCACATAAACCCGTAAGACAGTGCTATATTCCACTAATAGTATACTTAAAACATTTTGATCACGCAGATTAAAAATTAAGAAAAAGCAGGTGTTTGAACATCCAAGACATTACATAATTACATTTGTGAAAAAATGATTTTTTGGCTGCCAAGTTACATTAGGTGACGTGTTCAGACCTCCTCAAACTTGACACTTTCTACTTTAAAAGTCATGCTGTGAAGACAAGGACATAGGGGCTGGTATATTCTACAGCCATTGCCTTGAGATTAGAGAGATGATACTGTGGGACACTAACATAACTGAGGTATCTGCTGCCAGCTCCAGAAAGGAGGAGCGTTATTATTGGGAGCAAAATGTAAATCATCTCTTAGAGTTAGTCCAGTTGGATTACACGACAAATTAAGTCAACTAAGAACATGTCACTCAAGTCTTGATTCCAACCTTTCGAGAATTCAGTAAGAAGTATTATCACCTATATTCAGAAACAGGCTGTGTATCCTGAAAACACCCAATCAGACTTTACATATCAGGGATTTCTCAAGGAAGTCTAGACTAATGGCATCCCTCTTTACTTCAAGAGACCAGATTGTCAGGCATGTTTGGAATTCTTGCTCTTAAAGAGTTCAGATTTGCATGCCTGGATGATGGGAGTAATATTCTGTATTTCCAGGGCCATGACGATGCATTTGTCTATTGTACTGAGAATGTAATGCACTATCAAGTTCAAAAGAATCAACTGCTTAGAAAACAGGTTTAAGAAGGCCGTCTCACTGGAAGGCCCACTTTCACACCTGAGTCTCACAGGTGGTGGATACGAGAGCGTGGAAAGTCAAAGACTACAAGGATTGATGGCAATGAAAGCTATCCCACATGCAGCGTTATGAGCAGTGATGGTGTGGGAGTCTTCAGTCAGGATGAAGAGAGTTTAACTTTTCTACAGTCATGTTACAGGTAGGAAAATACTTTTTCCACTTTGAGTTCAAAAGTAGACCTGTGACATCTAATCATCCCAGTTAGAAGTAAATTGGATTTGGCAAAAATTTTAAGGAATTCCAGCAGACATAGCTTCATGGCTAATTCTGAAGTCTCACAGAGTTTGATAACTGTATGAACTATGGTGAGCTGATAATCTTAACAGAGGGACTGTAACACATCTACCACTTTTTGATGACCCATCAAGCTGAAGCCTGAAGTTCCAGAAGCACTGGTGATCTAAAAATGAAGGTTTTACACTTCAGTCTTAGTAAACACTGATCTAGTAGCAAATTGTTTCCAGATCCAAAATCTGCTAGTCCTCAGTTTACCAACAAGATTTTCCTGAGGCATGAATCTACATATTTTCTTTTAATTCCAGAAGATTCAGATTCCTGAGTACCCTTTTCTGGACTTATTTTGGAACAAAAATAATGGACAAACCCCTGTCCAATACTCCTTTGAGCAAAGTCTCCATTTGGCCAATAAAGCTAAAGTCTTTTTATTATAAACTTCATTCCAAAAGTCTAGAACTCAAACATCAGCTGTGATTATTCCAAACATGCACTCATTTTTTGAGATGACCCCAACCTGGGGAAAAACAAGTAAAGTAGGATCTTGGAAGGCTAATCTGCTAAACATCCAGAGTATTAATTTTTATACCCATGTCGCTCTGGAGAGTCTCCCTTTTTTCTATATCTATAAGGGTGATTCCGGGGTTTGTACCAATCCCCTTTGGAGTACCCTCTGTTGTGATAATGTGCTTTCTGCTCGTGACTATAAAAGTATCGATGCTGAGTATAGTATTTATTGTGATCTTTATATTCATTTTCTTTAATACTATTGTCTTCTGCAACAATAGCATTCACATCTTGTCCAAAAAGAGATGTACCATCAAAGGGCAAGTGTAAGATCTTCTCCTGGGTTTTCTTGGTGAGAGATGTGAGTCGAAGCCAGGCCTGTCTTCTATAGTCTACTGCCATGGCCATAACTCTGACTACAGAGTCCATTATGTCCCTGGTGGTACAAAGCTGCCAAAGTCCTGCATCCATGCCATCAGATATTATACACCTTGCTTTTCCACGATCAAACTCCGGATCATGAACCAGATCTTCCATGTCTTCCCAGAGTTTACGCTGATACTGAGTCATATAGGCCATATAGCTGGCAGCTCGGGCTGCAATGGAAGCAGCGTGGTAGAACCTACAACCCATGACCTCCATTTCTTTTGAGGTAGAGTCTAAAGGAGATGTCGTGTTTCCTCTTTTGCTATGTTCTAGTACATCTATAATGGGTCCCTCAGCTGGTGGATTTGGCTGGAAAGGAGATGTGTCCTTGGCCACAGGATATACCCTGTGTCCCATGAAGGAAGAAGGATGGCAATCAGCAGGGTCTTTAAAAACTTCAGTGGTGGCAATTCTCAAAAGTGGATGCAATGGAGGAACCAAACGTTTTTTAGAGGTCATCCAATCAGGCTTCCCCTCACATGTTTCGGTTTCAGACTGTAATGTCACCCTCTTTATAACACCTCTTTGTTCCATTCTCTTCAAAAGACCCGTGAAACTAGATTGCATGGGGTCAGTTGGCTGTCCTTTGTCATCAGCTGATGGAGATTTGCAATCAGCCTCTTCTTCAACGGTAGATAAGCCGTCCTCCTTAGAGGTGGACATATCCCAAGGAACTGACGAGTTCTCACTTGACCTAGAATGATGAAATCTAAAACAACTCCTGGACTGCAGATCACGTATGACTCTGGACATCTCAGCCACTTGTGTCTGGAGATACAGGATGGCATCCTGTCCATTCTGTGAAGTTGAAGACATCGTGATAGGTAAATCTTCTTTGACCTCAGAAAAAGCCAAAGACTCTTGGGGGACCAGTAGTGATGATGAAGGTAGAGTCTGACTGTTTTGTGATTTAATTGTCTCTGTTTCAGAGATATTAATATCTGAATTATTTTGATCATTTTTCTGGTTCTCCAACTGATTCTCAACAGAAGAAGGTTGAGAAACTATTCTTTGTGGACTGTTGGCACAACTCCCAGAGGAGGAGCTGCTGTCTCCAATGGGAAGAGGAACACTGCAGCTAGAGCACATTTCTGGGCGATGATTCTCAGAGGGTGGCACCTTAGATTCAGGCATTCTCTGGGTTATCCACATGAACAAGAAAACCAAGGAAGAAAAAAAAATGCTTTTAATATGTTAACTTTCAAGTGCAGAGATGCATGTCCAGTAAGTAGAATTCAAATTTTATATTATTATAAATAAGAATGACAGAAACAATCCACTACAGGTCGGCAAAAGAAAACAGAAGCCAAATGCACAGGATTCATTTACCCTTGACCCCATTAAAACAATAAGCATTAATGTTGAACGTAAAAAAAAATCATGATAAAAATAAAATCATTTGAGTTGGGAGATGGTTTAGAATGCAAAGTGCTTGTCACACAAATATGAGGACCCGAGTTTAGATGCCCTCCAAATAAAAGCAAGGCATGCAACTGGACATCTGTAATTCTAGCACTGGGGAGATGGGCACAAGCAAATCCGAAATGCACTGGCCAGACAGTGTAGTCAATCAGCGAGCTCCAGGTTCATTGGGAGCTCCTCAAAAATAAAGTAAAATAAGTAAGGTAGAAAGCAAATGAAGAGGAACCCTGATGTTAGCCTCTGGCCTTCACATGTGTGTTCTTGCACCTGCACATACATTTGCACACATCCATACAAATGTGTACACACACACATACACCAAACAAACAAATTTCAGTTCAAAGTAGTATTGCTTTACTCTTTTGCTTAACCCCAGGCTAAGATAAGATGCTATGGTAAGAACACTTGTAATAACAACCAATATAAGAAAAAAAAAAACATCTGTTCAGTATATAAAAGACAGCAAGTGGAAGATGAGGGCGGAGAAAACTTGAATAGAGTACTACTGAAATGGGAAAAAAAAAATTTTAAACTCCCTCAAGTGGGGTCACTTTAAATTGCCTTAAGATTTCTTTTCTTAACTCCCCATGAATAACCTTCCGGTTGTATATTTCTGCTTTATATTTGTAGTTTTAAGGAACTTATATATTTATTTTTTCATTTCATCCCCAAGACAATCCTGTGAGGCAGGACTAATTCTCATTTGAACTGCAAAAAAACAAAATAAAGCAACACAATGCGAGGGCTAAGACGAAGTGAGAGAAATCTTAAACTGAGCCATTTGATCACAGATCCAAGTCTCAAGTCCCTATGTCAAAAAACAAGAAGGCTCTGGTCACCACAAGCAAGCAAGAACTAGGAATTCTCTAATCAAGAAAAGCTCATTAACAGGAATTTGGGCTAAGTTAGTAACAAATGAAAGCCAACATTGCCATGAAGGGTTCAAGGAATTCAACTCTTAGCATATGGCATTGGTTTAAAGGTCAACCGCACAAGTAGCAGGTCCCATGTACCAATTCTAAGGATGGGGAAAGGAAAGGATAAAAGGAAAGAAGACTGGAATCATTTATCAGCTCTAAGTCTCCACATTCCATTTCCTGAAAGAACTTCACACTTCCTTTCTCTCAAGACAAATTTTCTCTGGCCACATAGTTCAAAAAGTAAAGAATTCAACTGTGTAAGTACCAGAAGAGAGTTATAAGAAAGAAGGGGGTGGAGGTGAGCAAAAAGCTTGTGGTTTTTAAATTACAATTTCTTTTTATCAGTTATTACGCTCCAGTGTTAAGTTTCCTACAAATTTAAGAAGAACTGATAGAAGTGAACGACTCCTTGAACTCCTATGCTGGTCCATCCTGACAGAAATGAACATTTTCTAGAGCACTGATGCTCTTACACAGTTATTATTGCTTTCCTCACTCTTCACAAAAAACTCTTAACTGACACAAGTGAAAAAGTTTAAATCAAATGTAATGTACTTACATCACTATGAGAGGTGCTAGGCTCTTCATCATCACTGCTGACCAGATCAATATATTCAAGAACAGGTCTTAATGGTCCTTCCTATAAACAGAATTGAAGAAATGAGTATCATGAACATCATTTAAACCAAACCAGCATTTTAAACAATGTTCTTTGTTGGGATTGGTTCTGAGAAGGAAGACATACAAGTAGTAGAAAAAAACAAACAAACAAAACAAGCAAAAGTAACTATTCACAGTTTCTTTCTTTCTTTCTTTCTTTCTTTCTTTCTTTCTTTCTTTTTAAAGATGAATGATGATACATGCCTATAGTACTAAGCAGTTTAAAGCTGAGGCAAGATGACAGCAAGTTCTAGACCACCATGGCCTACAAAGTGAGACAGTATCTTTAAGAAGAAAAGGGGGGAGAGTGGCACCTAAAAGTTAAACCTAAACCCACAGGGATTACTACGACCCAGTACATTTCACCTAGGAAGAGTACCAACAGTAAGATATCCAAGTTTGTGATCACCAGAGTATATAGCACAAAACGTAAAGATCTTTGACCAGTAACTTAGCTTCATTTCCCTAAACTTAAGAGAGTAAAACATCAAATCTAGATTCTTCTCCAATCTTCTTTCTATTCTTATGTCAGGCTTAAAAGTCCAGCTCTCAATTCTATAGGCAAAAAGGAATTAGTAAGTAACATCACAATGGGAATAACATTAGAGAAACACCACAGAAGAATGCAAAAACTGGGAAAACAAGATAACTTATTAGTACAGACATATAATAATGTACAACTTATAAGGGTAATGATAAAAAGAGTGAAGTGCACCTAAGAGAACCTGGGCACAATGAAAAAAAAATAGATGAGAAACAAAACCAACCAACCAAAAAAACAAAATCAAGAAATCAAAGAAGTTCAAGTGACTAGAAATATACCAATGCCAGCATTGCAGATGTACACAAAGGTGCCTGGCCAACAACTGAACATGCAGGTCTGTAATTTAGGGGTATGAACATTTTGGGAGTGAGATTTGGGAGATGCTCCCTGCCTCCCACCCCAAGAAAACTACTAAACTCTCAACTAAACCGAAATGATTACAGCCAATGCAAAGTCATCAGTGCAGAATGTGGGAAAACACTGAGCACCAAAACTACTATGTAGTCTTACCAGTACAATCAATAATGACTTTTGAAAGAGAAATGCTAAATAAAGCTTTGTAAGCACATAAACCATACCATAAAAGTCAAAGAGAGCAATGTAAAAACAAATAACAAAAACCTCTAAAACCTACAGTATGACTGGTATATGCCTATTTTGTTAGCACTGAGGGGATAGTGTAGAAGTTCAAGGGCCAGGATGGGCTATGAAGTGAGAACTTGACTCAAAATTTTAAAATCTAACACACTGGAATAAAAAGGGGGGGGGACATAGGAAAAAAACACAACCAATCTTAAGAGATCACAGAGTGAAGAAGGCTGCTTGCTGTAGACAGAAAGTAAGAACACCTAGCTCAAGAGTCTCTCCATCCAGATTGTGTTTTTCTCTCAGGTTTTAATAAATCATAAATTACCATCCTTCTGGACAGTGATCCAGACATCAAGATAAAACTGGTGAGCAAAACTTTTAAAACCATGAAATGTGATAAAGGAACTGGAATTTTTGCTCAAGGTGTTAAGATGAACATTCATGAGAGCGGGGAGGGGGGGGAGTAATAAAAAAAAAATCACACGGTCAACAGAGATGTATCATCTACTTTAAGACTAAAGCCTACACTTGGTAGTGATATTGTCCAATCATTTGATCATATGTTCAAATTCAAGAAGGCAGTAAAAAAGATGAAAATGGATCTGCTTGACCACTGATATTATCACCATAGTTTGGATTATTCAAGCAATGTTATTTAGGAACTTGTTACACTGTATTCCACTTTCTGGTTTGTTTGTTTCTGACAAATAGGGTCTATGGAGCCTGGGTGGCCTGGAACTTTTTTATGCAGCCCATTCTGGTCTCAAATTCACAATCTTCCTCAGCCTCCCAAGTACAGGGATCACAGGCATCATAGTTGTGTGTCATCAGACCTGACTTTTAGGAACTTAACACTGTACACAGAAATAATGAATCAAGAAAGTCTCCAGGTGATAACAGAAACACAGAGGTAGGGGTAGAATTTCTATAAATGGAAAAGAGAAATTGGTCTTGGTACACGCCTATAGTTCCAGCACCGAGAGTCTGGTAAGTTCTAGGCTAGCCAGGCTGTAATACTAGGGAATTGCAGGCCAGAGCCAGCTGGACATTACAGAAATCTATCAAGAAAATGAAAATAAGCTGGGCATGTGCAGCACAGGCCTGTAATACATGACAAATGCTACAAGTCCAAGGCCAGGACTAAAGAGTATGCAAGGGATTGGCGGTGCAACCTGGTGGTGGGGATCTTAACATGCACAAGGCCCTGAGGGTCAATCCCCAGTACTAGGGAAAATAAAGACTTAAGTCAGGTGTGGTAGTATACATCTAAAATCCCAGCAATCAGGAGGCAAAGGCAAGAGGGTTATTAAGTTCCCAAGACCAGCCCAGGCAAAATGTTGGCTCAAATATAAAAAATTTAACAATTCTTAAAATGTAGCTAAAGATACATAATATGGCCAAAAATAAGATCAGATAGATAAAGCAAGACTGCAAGACTACCAGAACTTTACCACTACATCATTTCACTGATATGCAACTGTTGTTCAACTATAAAAAAATAATGTCATACAATTTATATTAATTGAGACAAAATAATAAAAAATACCCAGGACAAGAGAAAACAAAAGAGGGGGGAAGTTCACTCATGCAACAAATGATTACTAACTTACAAGGCATAGAATGAGACAAGAACTTGATGACTGTACTTGACAGGACTGAGAAGACCCTCCCTACTCTTGAGCAGCACCACCCCATGACTGGTAAGAGGGAGCAGAATTTCTGCTTCCTGCCTGTAGACACATGAGCAGGTGCTTCTATATTCTTGCCACCATGTTTTCCTCCCTATTGTGGACTGTGAGCCAAAATAAGCCCTTCATTGGATAAGTTGCATGTCAAGTATTTGATGACAACAATGAGAAAAATAATACAGGAGACATAACAACTGAAAGGAAAACTATAAGCATGCCAAAGAAAAATACTTCTGTGTAAGTAAAGAACACGTTTAACTAATTTGCACGGCAGATACAAAATAAATTAGCGGCAATCCTCCTACCTCAGCCTCCTGAGTGCTGTGATTACAAGTATATACCACCACACTGGCTTGTTTTCTCTTGAGATGGGATCTCATTCCTTACTCCAGGCTGACCAGGAATTCCCTGGATGTTGCTTGTATCAATAGCTACCCTCAATCTCCCCATCGCTTGGATTTCAGGCACTCACCAAAATCAACTTCCCTTTTATCTTTACTTAAAACTTTACCATACTGAATCTGAGAAATCAAAACATGTAGTACTCCATTTATTCTACTCCTAATGAAGAAAATGTATCAAGCCCCATACCAGGCTCTGTGCTAAGTTTTCCAAATTATACCATCCAATTTCCATAACAGCTTTACAGAGATTCTGATTACTGAAATCATCCTATTATACAGATAATAAAACTGAGTGACATGCACAATTTGATTGTGCAGTCACTATTAACTGAGAGGTACTTTAAAAGTATAAATCAAATTTTTAAAAAATTGCTGCTTATTACCTAAGTTTCCAAGTTAACATGTTCCCTTTCAGTGAAACAAAAAAAACCACCATTGCCTGAATTATATTTCATAATGCTGCCCAATCAAATAAGTTACTGATTCCTCAAGAAGTAATGTTCACAATCCAAATATGAAATAAGATTATCTCCTATAATATTTTATCCTGTAATATTTATGACTACCTATGTCTGGACTAAGTACAAATGCATGTAGTAATTAAATTATAAGGTATTTTATATGAACTTATACTACCAATTATTAAATCAGTCTTATCTCCTCTTATACCAGTAACAAAATAAAGAATTCAACTCGAAATGCCATTACAATTAAGCAGGAGAGGCTCATACAGAACATATTAGAAACACAAGACTATTCTAAGTTTTAAAATATATTACAATAAACTATTTGCATTACTGTAATTAAATACCAATTCTCAAAATAAAACCACCCATTTTTCTATTTAGAAAGAGATGCTAATACATTAAAGTATCATCCACAACTGTTCTACTTCAAAGAAACAAAAGTTAGGGTTATATACCTTACTTCTGTCTAGTTCAAAACTTTCAAATGGTTTCCAACTGCCTACTTTTTGGTTCAAATATAGTACCTCATTCAAGATCTGTGTCATATGGGCCATCTTTCTCCTATCTTAAAAACTAAAGAAAACATTAAAACATATATCTCCAAAACTACACATATGGCTGTTCTTTCATTTTCACAGCTTTCCTTCTTTTATTCACAATGCCATTTTAAACATTCAAATACCTGGGGACATAGTACTCAACTTGCAAGTAGAAGGCCCTAAAGTCAATTCCCACTAACATACATACACACACACACACACACACACACACAACCAACCACTATTCATAGTAAACCAATAAACTATAAAGTCTTATGCCTTTTCTGTACATGTATGTTATCTGTGTACGTGTGTACATGTGTGAATACATACACATGTGCTACTACAGGCATGCACAAGTCAGAGGATACCTTCCAAGAGTTCTCACCTTCTACCTGGCTGAGGCAGGGTCCCTCTTGTTTCTGCTGCTGTTAGGTTTTTCCTCTCTAGTTGGCTGTCACCATGGGATTACAGATGCTCGCTTGCCATCACATCTATTTGTTTGTTTATTATTTTTTGATGGAGGTTCCAAGGATAGAATTCAGGTCAAGTGCTTTTACTCACTAAGTTTTTTCCCTGTTCCCTGGACTCCTTTTTTTTTTTAAAAAAAATTTTATTTAATTTTACGTATGAGTACTCCACATGTACACTTGCATGTCAGAAGAGGGCATCAGATCCCATTATAGATGGTCATGAGCCACCATGTGGGTGCTGGGAATTGAACTCAGGACCTCTGGAAGAGCAGCCAGTGCTCTTAACCAATGAACCATCTCTTCAGCCCTCCCTGGACTCCTTGAATCTTTTTTTTTTTTCTTTTCCTTCTTCTTCATTTTCTTAAAAAGTATTCTGTGCTTTTTGTAAAAGAATTTTCTATCAGTGCCATTTTCTTCTATCTCATTGCTGCACTAAAATACTGACATTCAAAGGTAGGATATATATAAATCAAATATATAGGTCTAACATTAAGAACGCACAACTTTGTACTTTCTAAGCCTCAATATTATTTTGCTTAATGAGTAGTCTAAGAAACCTAGTCAAAAGATGCTTTGGGTCAACTAGAAAGATGGTTCGGGGTTAAGCTGATACATGTATGCCAGGGGACCAGAGTTCAGTTCCCAGCAACCATGCTGGTGACACAATAGCACCTGTAACTCCAGAAGTGCAGACACACTTTTTCTGTCTCTACACCTGCACACATGGCAAACAGTTACTTTCTCTGTCTCTCTCTCACACACATAGAGTTAAATAATGTATTACTTTTAATGATGCTTTCTGCATGCATCCTTTCTACTACAGTAAGTATTAATATTCAATCTGGGTGCTCAGATTATTTATAAAATTATGCTTTGAAATTCTGAATCTCTTGTCTTGTTATGAAGATTATGATAGGTTCCCAGCAGTGTGTATGCCTTTATATTTAAAGTGGCACTGTGAATAATTCTGTTAACAGTTAGCTTAATATTTTGGAAGTAAAAAAAAATTATAAGGAAAGATGTCCTATTGCAAAAGAAACCATAAAGATACAAGTTGAACAAAGGGTCATACTGCTAAACAGAAAACATAATTAACAGGCAGAAACAAAAAGTTCTCATCAGTGCTATCCTTTCTTGACTGAGGCACTGTCCTAAATCACTTTCCTGTTGCTGTGATAACATAACCTAAATAAACTTGTGGAGGAAAGGTGTTAGTTCATGCTATACTTCCAGGTCACAGCCCAGCTGTGAGGGAAGCCAGACCTCAAAGCAGGAACCGAGAAGGAATGCTCTTACTGACCCTTACTCAAGAGCTCGCTCTCTGGCTCATGTTTTTTCAATCCAGCAAATAACCGCCTGCCTAGAGGCATAATGCTCAGTAGGTTGGGTCTTCCTACATAAATCAACCATCAAGAAAATGCCCCACAGACATGCCCAAAGGCCAGTCTAATCTACGCAATTCCCCAATTGAGGCTCCTTCTTCCTACTTGACTAATTTATGTCAAACTGACAATAAAAATTTACCAATACAAGCACCACTTATAAAAATATATTGCACTGAGAGAACTCAAGAGAAGATTCAGCACTTAAAGCACTTGCAGAAAACCCAGACTGTATTCTCAACAACCATGTAATGTGGTTCACATCTGGGCTCCAGCAACCACATTGTGGCTCACAACCATCCACAATTCTAGTTCTCAGAAGATCAGAGGCCCTCTTCTGATCTGTGGGCACCAGGCATGCAAGTGGTGCTGTACATGCAGGCAAAACAGTCATACATTAAGTATATACATCTTTTTTAAATGTTAAATTTATTACCTTTGCAAATATCAAACAAGGACACCTATGAACTATGTACTTCTCTGAATATTTCAACAAAAGTTAAACAAAGGATTCATTTTTGCATCTCCATATCTAGATTCCTTGTTTTAAGTATGCGGTGTGTCTTAGTCTCCATATCCCAGAGAATCTCCTGTCCGATGGCAGTTTACTCCTGTGCAGTTTTAACAGTCACACAGAAACACATACCATAATTTCATTATAAATTACAAGCTAATAATCAAAACCAAGTAAATCAAGATGTTACATTATAACGTAGTTTATTCTGAAAAACTCAGACAGAAATCTGGTTTTCATTTTTACTAGATAAGAACTGTTTTCATTTTTACTAGATAAGAACTAACAGAGAAACAGAACTGTGTTACAAAGAACACAAGATTCTGGGGGCTGAAGAGATGACTTAGCGGTTAAGAGCACTCACTGCTCTTCCAGAGGTCCTGAGTTCAATTCCCACGAACCACCTGGTGGCTCACAACCTCTCTGTAATGAGATCTGGTGCCCTCTTCAGGCTTGCAGGCAGGATACTATATACATAAATAAATAAATCTTAAAAAAACAAACAAACAAACAAAAAACTATAAGATTCTGTTTCTGGATACTTTTGTGCTGTTAGTAGCAGTGTTGGTTTTGTTTTCTTTTTTGACAGGGTTTCACTATACAGCACACAGTAGGTCTAGAACTTCCTAAGGAAGCAGCTCAGACTGCCTTCCAATTCAAGATCCTTCTACGTGGCCTTCCCAGCTCTGAGGTTCTAAATGGACCTTCAAGTAAAATTAAGCTATCGCTAATCATCATTTAAGTGATAGCACTTACGAGTACACACAAAGTTTTCTATGTTATACATTCTTTATTCTTGATGTAAACATAGAAATAGCTGTGCATTTAAAATAAAATTTAAACATTACTTTTAAAATTCAGATCAACAAATACCCTAATTAACTAGTTACAAACTATTTTATTTCACAAGATATAAACAATTTACCTTTTTTGGGGGGCGGGTTTACAAGACAGGATCTCTCTATCCTTGGCTATCCTGGAACTCACTTTGTATACACACCTGTCTCTGCCTCCGTGAGGGCCGGGATTTAAGCGTGGCTAAAATTTACTTTTAGAACCTTACTCTTTACATGGTCTATCAATTTCTCAGAAGGCTGTATTTTATATTGAAGAGTTATCTTTTGGGAAGAATATGAAATATCTCTCTTAACGAGTTATAAAAGCCTTTATCAAACACATGTTGGAGGGGTAGTATTAATTACCAACATTCCCCTTTCTCCAAAATACTTCAGTCCTCTAGGAAGAAAGGAACAAGACAATGTATCCGCAAACCTCACTCCAGATCCTCGAAGTTCAAAATGAAAAGAACATTGTGCAGTGTGCCATGGAAAAACTGCCAAGAAAATAACTCTGAGAACTCCCTCAACAACCCATAACAACCCCATACACAATGGACTGCCACAATGGTTCAATGTCGGGTAGGATATTCTTTAATAGTCACTATTTTACAGTTAGCCAAAACTTCCATATATGTATCAGAAGAACAATAAAGAACTATACAGCTTTTATAACAAGCTGTAGCTATCTACAGCATTTCAGGAGTGTAGAGAGCAGAGATGTTCTCTGGCTTACTAATTCTTTAAGAATAGTCAATAGCGGTGGTGAACGCCTTTAATCCCAGCACTGGGGGGGGGGGGGGCAGAGGCAGGCAAATCTCTGTGAGTTCAAGGCCAGCCTGGTCTACAAGAGCTAGTTCCAGGACAGGCTTCAAAGCTACAGAGAAACCCTGTCTCGAAAATAAACCAAAAAAAGAATAGTAAATACACAAATTTAACCTCTCTAGGTGGCAATCACCCAAAACTGTTTATCTTCCCCTTAATCATCACTCGATGAAGTGTGGAGAGATCCAAATGTCCCACATTGTATGCCAAAATGACAATACCTAGGCTCCACCCTGAATTCCTGATTCACCGTATCTGGAGTGGGCCCAGGCACCTGCCTGCTCACAAGGCTGGCAAACTACTGGCCCAAAGGTATAAACTGAGAAAACCACAGCAACGCTCCAGGTGACTGATGCAGGACCCCTCATTGTGACCAACAATTGTACTGTGCTGTAACAAGATGACCTCAGAAGTTAGGGACCTCCTCACGCTATCTTAGAAGATGCACCACACTGAGATGCTGCCCTCTTTACAGTCCTTTCCTACCTCCTCAACATTAACCCATCCAGTGTGTCTACATCTGGAAGGCATTCTTGCCTCCTTTCAAAACAGAAAACCCAAAATGCAGTCTTAAAGAGATCAGACTTTTGTCCACAGTACAGAATGGAAAAACTGAAGATCTGGAAGGGGCCGTTACGGGCACGACAATTCTTTAGGCCACCCACTTTGTGAAGTCTACGATAATAGTTCAGGTATCCCTTCAGGTAAGCCTCCAGGTAGCTCTTCAGGTAAATGTCCTGTGCACCATTGTGTGGCAGCATGTGACATTCATGCCTATCTGCTGAGTGATGAATGTAGACGTTTAAGCACACAATGGCTTACCACACGCTTTCAGTCCTGAAAACCGCGACTGTCAGGCTCTACTTACACTAACAAACTGAATGTCATCTTCATTTTCATCCGTTGTTGACTCAGATGCCTCAGGCCCAGCTGGTGGGGCAGATTCTATTATCTACAAACAAAAGCCAAAACACGCTTATCTATTCAGTCACACACTCGTAGGCAGAAATTTTTTTTTCCAAAAGGAACGAGTTTAAGACAAAAGCCCCTGAGGGAACAGCACGAGCACGCACAAATCCGGCTCACGGAACTGCATGGAGGCGGGTTTTGCTAAGGCGTCTGGGAACTGCAGAGACCTAGCCTCCTAGGCGAGCTGCCACAATCCCCCTCCCCGCCTTCTCCAACAGCGGGGCTGCAGGCTCAAAACCTCCAGGATCAGGGACGCAAGCTGGAAAGCAAGGGCAGCCCGCCTCTAATCCTCTCTCACCCTCAGGGCTGCGGCTGTTACAGCTAGGGCGGCCATGGGCTGGGGGCGGCCGGACCGCCATTGTTGAGGGCTCCACAGGGACGTACACCAGGCCCGGAGGCCCAGCAATCGCCCCAGGCCGCGGCCCAGCAGAGGCCCTCGGCCTAGAAGACAAACCCTTCGGGGTCGGGCTCGGCCGAGCCAAGGCCCGGGCCGCCGCCACTCACCTCCGGCCCCGGGTCTCCCATTTCTCCCACGGCCTGTCAGCACCACGCTCCCGCCGCCACTGCTGTTCCCGACGCCGCCGCCACGACTTCCCTCTCGCCTTGCGCCGAGCGACCCGCCCTGCGTGAGCGCCCACGCAGATGACGCCTCAGGCCGCGGGGACGCCGAGCCGCTAGACCCCAAGCGCGGCCTCGCTGCCGCTAGCTTCCAACGCCGCTTTGTACGCCCCCCGCCTTCCTCCCGCCCCGCGAAGGATCCTGGGAGTTGTAGTTCCCACCGGCCTCGAGGCCGCGGACCTCGTGGCCGGGAAAGCGGGCGAGGACCTGGAGCGTGGCGCTCACCTGCAGCTCCGGAAGATGGAGGAGGAGGTGGCGAGGGCCTGATAAGAGTTTTGAGTCCACGCGAAATCTCATTCTGCTGCCCCCTTTAACTTGGGAGACACTGGCATGGAAAGAGCTCCCCTGGCAACAAGCAGGACGGATGGAAAAATGGAGGATTTTTTTTTTCTTTAGCATCTTGGCAAGGATGGCAGATACAAGAGCTTATGTGACATTTCTGAGAGGTCGTTAATTCTTGCAGTAGTCTCCCAAAGTGGCTTCCTTGTTGTGCACAGGTTTCCAGACAGGGGTTCCTGTAAACTAAAAGCATTACTATTTAGGTCTTAAAGGGCTGCGGGTGGTGGTCCAGGTCCAGGTTTCTCTCTCCAGGCTAGGCTGAGCTGGTTGGTTAATTTCTTGGAAAATGGGACTCAAACGTGTGGGCATAAGGGAACCAGTGGAAAATAGACCTGGTAGTGTTAGTTAACCTGTTCAGACCTTTAGGAAAGCAAAGCCCAGTGATCTTTGTTTCGGGCCAGATGGTTGGAAATGAAGAGTCCAGGCATAAGAAAATAAAAATGTAAAAAATAAAGAAATATAAAGTTATAAGTCTAGGAGAATAAGAACAGACTATCAGCAGCTTTCTCAGCAGATCAAGGATCATTCATTCACAGTGAGCTATTTTCTCAGATGCTTGGGAAGCATAGGTCATTTTACAACTGGCTGTTTTATTTACAAGGCCAGAGTGTCTCTCTACAAATTAAGAGCAGTGTCCTGACCATCCTTAATAAACAGTAGATGTGAACTGAGTTTAACCTTTAGGAGACAGAGATATGTGACCTCTGGGTCAGACACCGTCTCTGTTATGGGAAACTGGCACCACCAGAGGAGAGGCATGACCTCAGTTTACACCCGGAGGTACCAGGAGACAGTGGATAAATAAAAAGGTTTAATTAATGAGCTCTGATAATGGAGATTGTAAAGTATGGCAGTCAATATCTGAAAATTTACCTAAAAATAATGTGAAAGGCTTTTCTTCTAAATTCTCAGCCCAAGAACCAGTTAATCCTAATTTATTAACCTTCTAGTGTTACAAGCAGCCCCTTTTCTGACGAATTGCTAAAGATATCTGTTTTCTCGCAATTAGTGACTTTCGTTGTAATCTCCCCTAAAACATATTTCATGATGGCTGCCTAATTACTCATTGACACTAGCACTCACTCCCCTCTTTAGGGTCTCCGCTGACCAACCCAAGGGTCAGGGCAAGGTTGTAAAAATTTCTTTACCCAGACCTAATGCTTGGTGTCCTAACTATAAAAGGTGGGGTCAAAAACCGGCCTTTTGCCACAGCCTAACAAACACCATCTCTGGCTGTGGTCTCAGCTAGCTGATAAGCTTCTGTGCCCCGCGGTGTTTTATTTTTATTTTTTTATTTTTAAGTTTGCTTCTGGTTTTCCTAGGATCTGGTTTCTGGAATAAAGTTTGCTTCTGGTTTATTAGACTTGGTGGTGTTCTCATCTTTGTGCGACCCCTCTGGACCCAACAGAAACACTTTGTTGCCTTTTTTCTCTTTCTTTGACATTTTGGATGGAGGTGTGGCATGGATAATTTTAGATCAAGATATGATGCACTCTTAAGCTAGTCACCTTTCTTACATCTGATATCTCCCAGTGCTAACAAGTATTGAATCTCGCGGACGGACCAGAGAGAGAATAATGGAAAACCTACATAAATATTAATGTGATTTTTTTTTCCTCTGGCTGCCCTGTTTAATAAGAACATGTTTAGAAGCTACGTAACAGAAAATTAATTAAGCATGGTATAGCAAAAGAGAAAAGAAAAACGTAAAATTATGGACAAAACTTGGGAATCTATTTTAGGAATTAAGAAGCTGTTGAGTCAGGTGGTTCTATAGTCAGTCTTGTTTGAGAGTGGAAAATTAGTTCAATTACTGGGTCTCCATTCTTGTTTTCTAGAAAGGAAGGGAGAGAGGGAGGAGGGAAGGGAGGAAGGGGAGTAGGAAGGGAGGAAGGGGAGGAGGGAAGGGAGGAAGAGGAGTAGGAAGGGAGGAAGGGGAGGAGGGAAGGGAGGAAGGGGAGCAGGAAGGGAGGAAGGAGAACTCAGTCTATACTTAAGCAGAAGTTTATTTACCAAAACAAAGCACACACTCCAAAGAAAATATTTCGGCGTCCCAAAGATGGATTAGGATAACAGCCTAATAGGGTCTGCATTGCAGAATTTAAAGAAATTTTCATGAATATTTATGAGATGGGTCATAGTCTTGGATAAAGCATTTTCCCTTCCAAGTCATGGTGTACTGAGTCTGGCTGCTACATTATTTCTTCCCACAATCCTCTAGAAAAGTCCACAACAGTCTGAGAATAAAAATTCCAGTGTATATGGTGATAAAATAAAGTCAGGGTCTTTTGAGGATACAGGGCTTCCTTAGTCAGCTGTGTGGGCAGTTGGGAGAGTGCGTTGGCCTTCTAGCCTCTGAGAGAAGTTTAACTTTACAGGGTTGTTGTGACTAGCAGGAGACAGAGCTCTGAAACACAGTTACAGATTCCCCGGTTACCCTGTATCTAACTCCTTACCTAGCTAGTATCATTTTTTTTCTCAAGAAATACAGCTTCCATAATGGAAAATATAATCTTTTAAGGGAAGAAGTACCCAGAAATCTTTTTGTTTGGTAACTTTTTCAGGTTGAAAAAGAAAGCAGATTGTTCTTACGGGTCTAGTGTCCTTGCTCTGTATGTTGGTGGAGTAACCAAGGCTGGTTAAGTTAAGGATGACAGCCTGTTGGTCGAAATACCAGATGTTTTTGTTGACTACTGAACCTCACTGTGGTCCAGCTAGCCCAACAAACTTTCTCGCATACTACTGCAAATGCATATAAATTTTAGAATAGATGGCAATGTTCCTTGAGGGCCATTCTTTTGGTATCTCAAAACTTAAATGCGATAACTACAATACTCTCTTAACTGATGTTATATTACATGATAAAGAAATCGGGAAAAGAAAACACAAATCTGTACAGACATATTCTTAACAAAACAAGACAGAAGCACTCAAGCCAATTATTATCCTCCTTTCTGTAACTGGTCACATGACCTTAGCTGGTCTTTATAGCTACCTTCCTTTACTACCCATTCTGTATGTCCTCCACCCTCAGCAAACCCTTCAGCAGCTCTTGGCTCTTTTCCTGGAGGAGTGACCCATACCTTCCTTCCTGATGGATCTCTGTTGTAAAATATTAGTTAAAGATATGTTACATTTGTTTATGCAGTGGAATATTTGCTTAATGGTGCAAAGATATGCTGCATTCTTTTTAGGTTGCATTTGTTCAACTCTGTAAAGTTGTATTGCTTTGCCTGTTTAAAACATTTGATTGATCTTATAAAGAACTGAATGACCAATAGCTAGGCTGGAGAGAGAACAAGGGGCTGCCAGACAGAGAGAATAAATAGGAGAAAAAGAGAAGATGGGGGAGTGAGGAGAGAGGACACGGGGGGCCAGCCACCCAGCTATACAGCAAGCCATGGAGTAAGAAGTAAATTAAGGTATATATAACAGAGAAAGATATAAGCCCAGAGGCAAAAGGTAGATAGAATAATTTAAGAAAAAACTGACTAGAAACAAGCCAAGCTAAAGCCAGGCATTCATTAGAAAGAATACTGCGTATTTATTTGAGGAATGGATGGTGGCCCACCCAAAGAGTAAAGAGTAAAAAGCAAAAACAGGTCTGTGCCCCTGCCTGGATTAGGCTGTTGTCGTTTCCCATTGACTCTAATCACAGGACACAGTAGCACCAAGAAACACCCTAAGGAATCTCCTGCACTCCAGACATAATCCTTCTTACCTCCATTGTGGAAAAGCAATCCTATTCCCCATGGTAATCTGGATCAATCACCCCTCCTAACACTGTTTTACCTTTCTTAGCTTAACAACATTAGAAATCCAAAGTAGTGGCCAGGAGGATCCAACTTCCAGTTCACTGGAATGTTTGTTGCCTCCTGACAGGAGCTCTCCCTGGTCTGGAACAAACTTCTGGGCCAGCAGAACTTAAGGCTGCAGGATAGAAAGCAGAACTTTTCCTACTGGGCACAAGAGGTGAAAGTGAGTGGGAACTATTCCCTTCCTCACCCCTGACCTGGACCCGAGGACCCTAGCTATGGGAAATATGTATGGCATTGTATGTGCCATACAATGGATGCCAATTCAAGGCATATACCACCTTCTGGAGAACCCAGCCCCAACCATCCAGGGGCAATGTAATTGGCACTGTAACTGTGTCTTCAAAGGCCATTCCATCTCTTTCTCAGGTCAACTGCTTCAGGGTGGTGGGGGAACATGGTAAGACCAGTGGATTCATAACTGTGACTATTTTCGCACTTCTCTGGCTGTGAAGTGGGTTTCTCGGTCAGAAGCAATGCTGTGTGGAATACCGTGTCCGTGGATCAGACATTCTGTAAGTTCACAGATGGTGGTTTGGGCAGAAGCATTACTGGCAGGAAAGGCAAATCCATAACCAGATTGAGTATTTACTCCAGTAAAAACAAGTGTCCTTTCCATGAAGGAAGTGGTCCCATGGAGTCAACCTGCTACCATGTCGCTGGCTGATCATCCTAGGGAATGGTGCCATATCTGGGGCTCAGTGTTAGTCTCTGCTGTTGGCAAATCTGGCACTTACCTGCAGCTATAGCCAGGTCAGCCTTGGTGAGTGGCAGTCTATATTGTCAAGTCTGTGCATAACCCCTAACTCTGCTCCCATGGCCACTTGATTCATGGGCCCATGAGGCAGTGACAGGGATGGTTAGAGAAAGAGGTTGACTGGTCACAGAACAGGACCCTATCTACTTGCTTACTAAACTCCTCGACAGCTAAAGTCGCCCTGAGTATTGATGATGAGTATTGACATGGGACACCAGCATCTTCACAGC